TCAAAAGGGGTTAGTTTAATGAGAAACAATAACAAACTCGTCCGAACTCGCCCCGGCGAATGTTCATGACATTCGCGGCAGTTCGCGGAACCATTCGACCCGTTCGCTTCGAGTCGACGACTGCCCTTTTTTCGAATTCGACTTCTGCCGATGTCGACGATTGAACTCCGCTCGAGAGCGCTGAGCGCGAGTCTCTGCGTATGCGTCATCGCTAGTCGCCGCACACTAGTCTCCGGAGAACTGGACAAAACAGCCTCGAAAAGTGACTTCATCGGCGATCCAGTACTTTGCGACTCTATTGTACTCTATGATCAAAGATTACAAAAAACGTCCGATTTGTGTAAATTTTATTCCCGTTTGTGACATCCCTGAGTCGCGTTGTCTCGACTCTCCCTATAAAGGGACTCTAGTCTAAGCGACTCGGGTCGTTCATACCCGAAGCTTCCTGTAATTTGATGAAACTGAGCGATCAAGTCATGTGTGCACTAACCTAACCTAACCTTAGTTGACCCCAAGAATTCAAACTGACCTACCCAACGCCCAAAAGTAACCCCCTATAAAGGAGGCTGGTGCCCCTTCAAAGATTGCTCTTCGGTCAAAGAATTGACGCAGATTCTAGAAACAAATCGATGGCATGAGTACTTAGGTAAAATTTAATGCCTAAGGAGGACAAAAAGTTGTTGGTTTAGCCCCTTAAACCAACGCCTTATGATGTCTAAGGGTTTTTAGGAGCCTTAAATGATTTTTACTACGCTACTTAATTATTAGATTTTTATTCAAACTTTTTGGAAGGCAATGCGAGTTTGACAGAATATCTAACCATACCTGTTGATAAAGACGGCAGGACGCCAAGTGGCTCCTCTATAAATATTATGTAAATACATGTAAATAATCAAACCTTTGAGATTTAGAAAGGTTGTGAGTGAAAAGGTGATATGTACATAGTCAGATTTTAGAGGAATCATTAAAAAATCCTTTTAATTTGAGCCAACGAGATTTTAGAGGAATCATTAAAAAATCATTTTAATTTGAGCCAACGATGCAATTTGCATCCTTTCTCAATCCTCCATACCTACACAAAATTCAGTAAATAGTGTTCAAACTTAATTTTACTACATGCCGGTAAATTACAAGTGTTATTGAAATCAGCTAGAGACCTCGAAAGTCTTTCGACAAGACGGTAATTTTTTCAGTGTGCAAGGAAATCCTAAGTCTGTAACTTCATATTCAAATATTGTGTCCTTAATTTTACGAATTTTCAAAGAAAGTTTTATAGTTTCTAAGAGAAGGTTTATTTTTAAGCAATTAATTTATTATTAAATTATTTTTCATAGAAAAACAGTCTTTTCAATTAAAATTTCGGTATTTACCCGTGAACTTAAATTACCAATCTTTTTATGGTTAAAAAAGGGGGCATGTTTGAATGGCTGAAACTGGAAGGCGTTATTTTATTTTTTCTACAAAATTTTTCTTCGGCTATGGAAAAAACTTCCAAGATAAGCGTATTACGGTCAATTTAGAAAAGTTTTATCTTTATAATCGCCAAATTACGATGGATAACCCCTTCTTTTCTGGCAAATATACTTGAGATGCAGGAAAACCAACAGTTGAAATCTCGCACTTTTTTAAAATTTTACGTGCTGTTTTTTTACCGTGCCAAAATATTTTGTAAAAAAATGAGTGGCAACACCAATTTTCTCTCGAAGGATTAAAGTAAGACTAGTAATTCTGAGACATACCAATTGAGATACATACTTCCTCAGTTTCCTGCGACTTGCGTCATCAGTCCAACCTTACGTGCTTGTTCCAGCATGATACGATATGCAAGGCGCTCGAGCAACTAAACTAACTCCGCAGAAGTGATTTTGTGTCATTTGAAATTGAAGGGGATTTGTGGAGTGGTCACTTCATGCGCTAGAAGTGCTGGGACTCGTTAGTTACGTGTGCTGCGGTGCTGCGCGGGCACGAATATTCAGATGGAGACTAATTTCCTCTTAACACTGTTTATTTGCCGCATAAATATCCTGTCTCGAAATTGCAGACACTTGAAATTAATTAATGTGGAAAATAACAATTATGTAGTTATTGTCCCGGTATCCACTTTGAGTGAAATGTATGTAAGTACACTGCGTGTTTAAAACTGCCACGTCTTA